CCCCTGAAATTCAACTACAGTGGTACCTCGCAAGACAAAAAACTCGCTAGACGAAAGGGGTTTTTGTTTTTTGAGCTGCTTCGCAAGACGATTTTCCCTATGGGCTTGCTTCGCAAGACGGAAACGTCTTGCAAGTTTGTTTCTTTTTTTCTTAACACCATTAATACAGTTGCGACTTGACTTCGAGGAGCAACTCATAGAACGTGGTGTGGTAGCCTTTTTTGAGGTTTTTAAAGACTTTGGTGATTTTTGAAGCTTTTCCAAAACTTTCCCGACACCATGCTTCGCAAGACGGAAAAATTCGCAAGACGACAAAACTCGCGGAACGAATTAATTTCGTCTTGCGAGGCACCACTGTAAAGCATCCATGACAGATGGCCATCTAACGTCTGCTTAAAAACCTCCAAGGAAGGAGAGTCCACAGCCTCCTGAGGGAGATAGTTCCACTCTTTGATCACACTGATGTCTCACCCCATAAGAATTCTCAAAGTGAATTGACAGTCTTCACTTTGACCCTGTTGGAGTCAGGCAGGTTTTCGAAGTTTCTCATTTTTCCATTCTTAAATTGAGTTCTCCACTTCTCTGCAGTTTTTTTGGAAAGTCATGAAAATTTGCCAGTAATTTAATGTGAATTTCTCCTAATGCACACCTTTTCTTTGGATTCAGCACTGACTAATGTACATGTTTTTGCTAGTGCATGGGTAGGCAAACTAAGGCCCAGGAGCCGGATCTGGCCCAATCGCCTTCTAAATCCGGCCCACGGATGGTCCGGGAATCAGTGTGTTTTTACATGAGTAGAATATGTCTCTGTTTTATTCTCACAACAATACTGTCAGGTTGGGCCAGTCTCTGTCTTTTGGCCTAACCTACTCCACTTAGTGTCCTAGGGGGACGTGAACCCTGATTTCCAAGGTCCTAGACTGAGCCCTAACCACCAAACCACACTGGCTCACCACATTTTGTACTTCTGCAAACCTTTAGATTCCTCCTTCCCACTACCAAGCCTCCAAGAGCTCCCTCTTCTCTGTAGATGGCGACATTTAGCTACCTAAGGATCTGAAATCAAAGAGAAGGGATTTGCTATTAGTCTATACAGTGGTACCTCAGGTTACATACGTTTCAGGTTACAGACTCCGCTAACCCAGAAATAGTGCTTCAGGTTAAGAACTTTGCTTCAGGATGAGAACAGAAATCGTGCTCCGGCAGAACAGCAGCAGCAGGAGGCCCCATTAGCTAAAGTGGTGCTTCAGGTTAAGAACAGTTTCAGGTTAAGTACGGACCTCTGGAACAAATTAAGTACTTAACCTGAGGTACCACTGTACAAGTGGGAACTGAAACACGATCTTGGTTTGGAGGGTTTTCGTTCGCTGCCCAAACTGCAAAAATAGAATCTAGACTCTGACAAGTGTCTTCATGCAAATCCATCTGCCGGATTGACTTCCTTATCACCTGTGTCTATAGCCTATTCCCCAAGGGGATGGGATGGAGTTTTGGTCCTGGTTCTCTCTTAAGCCAAAACACTGTGGTATTCTCCCCCTGCCGATGTCAGGCAGTAATAGATGCCGTCATCCTCTGCCTGGACCCCAGAGATAGTGAGGTAGCAGGTGCTCCTTTGGGCATCTTTGGAAGCAGAAAAGCGATCAGGGACCCCCGAGACTTTATGTTGGTTCGATTCATCTTTGTAATACAAAATGCGTTTGGGAGAGCCCTGATGCTTCCACTGGAGCCAGACGATGATGTGACTCGCGATGCTTGTGATGCTGTCGCCAGACAGGGTGCAGGGGAGCTGAGTGACATTTCCTAGGGGTGCCAGCATAGAGCCAGGCTGGTTCAGCATCACTTCTGCATTGCCTGTGGTTCGAAGACACAAACACAACACGGAGACATCATCAGGTTGCTTTTAAAGCAGAACAGCAGGTACAGAACATGCTGGTGACCCTTGGGTGAGCCTGTGAACATTGAGTCTTTCATTCCATAACCCTGAGGTGGGTCACGTCGCTGTCCACAGAGATGCAGCTTTCTACAAATATCAGAGGCTGGATCCATGTTAAGTTAGCTGAACATGTGCCCCACTGAAATTTATTTGATTTGTAGCCCACCCTCCCTCTCAAAGGGCAGCAAACACACAAGCGATAAAACATGTTAACATAATTCCAGGACAGATATGGACTGGGAAAGATCTCCACCCAAAAGCCCTGTTAGAAGAGGAAGGTCTTCTGCAGGCACCAAAATGGCAACAGAGGTGGCACCTGTCTGATATTTAATGAGAGGGGATTCCAAAGGCAGGTGCCACCACACTAAAGGCCCTGTTCCCATGTTATATGGAGCAGACCTCCTGATAAGATGGTATCTGCAGAGGTCCTTTCCTGCAGAGCACAGAAATCAATGGGATAAGTTCAACTTAAGTTCCACTGATTTCAACGGAAAAGTTTGGCTCCAGCCCAATATCTCCATCTGAGTAGCAAAGAGGGGATTTCAGAGATTGTCCCCTATCCAACTGCAGATCCAGTTTGCAGTCCTTGTCCGTGTGTAATTCTCCATGTGGCAAGGCAATAAGACCTAAGTCTCTGCCAAGGCGTCTAGAACTGAATCTGTAGATTCCAGGAGATTGCCAGTACCTGCTAAGAAAAGACCCAGAAACCATAGAGCTGGTGGTGCTAGCAGAACCATGGTCTAGCAGCATTTATAGAGCAACCAGCCTTTTCAACCTTAGTACAGCTCCCAACCCCACTGAAATCTTTAAGCACATTTAAGTGGTAGAATTTCAGAGGTGGAGCAGAGGCAAAGTCTGGATGCAAATGAGTCCCTCAGGCTGTGGGCATACAAATGTTTGCTTCCTAGCCAGAGACATAAGAAGCTGCCTTATTCTGAGTCAGACCACTGGTCCAACTAGCTCAGGGTGGTCTATACCGAGTGGTAGTGGTTTTCTAGTTTTTCAGACAGGGAGTCCTTCCAGAGCCTACATGAAAATGCTAGGAAGTGAACCTGGGGCCTTCTACATGCAGAACAGATGCTGTACCAATGAACTACAACAATTATTTGATTGAAATAGGGACGCCCTGTTCCATAATAATAATAATAATAATTTTATTATTTGTATCTCGTTGATCTGACTGGGTTGTCCCAGCTACGCTGGGCAGCTTCCAACCTATTTTTCAGACAGATGAGGTGGAAAGTAGAAAAAGTTTATTGCAAACTGCAGTAAGACAGGCACAGAAGGTTCTTTTGCAAAACACTTTGGGCTGGTGTTTTTTTTCACAATCAAGCAGTGTACAAATTTTATGAAATTAAAAATATATGAGATGCACGGCGAGACTGGCATGGGCAGCCATAGGAAGCTGCTTTCTAACCATTAGAGGGTTTTTTTAAAAAAAAATGTGTTTGGTAGAGAAACTGTGCTGTGATAGAGGTCAAAGAGGCAGACCGAAGGTAATCCATTTGATAGTCCCTTTCCAATGGATTCCTCCAACATCCTGTATGGGAAATGCATCCGGAAGACAAAATGTATCGAGCAGTTAATGGTCTGACACAGAGCCCTTCCTGCCCCTGTTCCTTCCTGTTAAGTTGTGGGTGAACATATCAGACGACACAGCGATTCTCCAAACAGCTCTTGTTTATTCACAGGTCAGAACAGAACTGAACTGAAGTGTTCAGCCAGCCTGCTTATAGAGAGCTCCACTAGAACGCAACAGTAACAACGTTCTGTAACTATCCAATGACTGAATGTCACTTTCAATCCCTTATTTGCATATGTGGACCTGAACTATCTACAGTATCCCCCTGCTGGCCCAGGGTGAGAACTTTAGTACATAACACTTCCCCCTTCCTCTCTCTCGAATGTTTTGAGAACAGTCTTAAATGTTTTGGGAACGTTGGGAGGAGGTGAATAGCCCCCCCCCATCTGCCTTATCAGTTGGGGGGGATAGTGCTTGGTACCTTCTTTCATGTTTGACATGTTCTGAGAAAGTGAGGCATTGGGAGGGGGTGGCTAATGGATGATCTGAACGCAGCCAGTCTTGAAAGCTCCATAGGTTTGTCTATAAGCGAGGCGTTCTCAAAGTAAAGGAAGGATTGAACTCTGATTAATAAGAATACACACAGAGGCTTGAACCAGCAAGACTCTGGGAAGGGTGCATATAATAATCTCTGTGTCTCTCCCTCCGGCCCAGGTCATTTTACAGTGGTGCCTCGCAAGACGAAATTAATTGGTACCGCGAGTTTTGTCGTCTTGCGATTTTTTTCGCCTTGTGAAGCACGGTGTCGGAAAAGTTTTGGAAAAGCTTCAAAATCACCAAAGTCTTCAAAAACCTCAAAAAAGGCTACCACACCACGTGCTATGAGTTGCTCCTCGAAGTCAAGTCGCAACTGTATTAACGGTGTTAAGAAAAAGGAAACAAACTTGCAAGACGTTTCCGTCTTGCAAAGCAAGCCCATAGGGAAAATCGTCTTGCGAAGCAGTTCAAAAAACAAAAAACCCTTTCGTTTTGCGAGTTTTCCATCTTGCGAGGCATTTGTCTTGCGAGGTACCACTGTATTCACAAAAGAACTTTTTACAGAGCGTTCATAAGAACCAAGCAGATTTCTTCTGAGCATTTCAACAAACCCCACCCTAGTTAAGCATGCATACTTTGGGGGTAAATGAATGAAAACTACAAAAGAGTGCATTCAGCAACCCCGGAGGTCATAAAGAATCAATACACATGATAAGAAGGATGGCCAGGAGGACAGCGATCATTATCACCTTTATGTGAGACCTGTCTCCTGGCCCTAAGATTAACATCCTAAGATTAACATATCAGAAAAGCTGATATGCCCACTGTCTTTGATGACCCAGGATGCCTGCCTGCAGTAAGTGACTTGTCAAGCAAGAGAAATGGACAGTAGAGGAAATGGCCAGAGATGCAGAGGGTTGTGGGATTAGATCAGAAATTATTGTCAATGTCTCAAACCCAGTCAACACAATGCATTCATCGTGGACACAATGGCTTGATGCATATTTTATAATTCCTCCTAGTAATCCCACCTGACCCCACACTCTGGATATTTGCACTGCAACATCTAAAATCTGATGGTTTGGGCAGAGTTTCTCTGAAGCTCTGTGTCAACTGAGGCTACCTGGGGAGGGGGGGTTGCTTCACTGCTTCTTGAGGGCTTCCAATTGGCAGGTTGAAGTGCTTGCTTGGTATGTATACATCGCTTGTTTTGGAATAAAACCTTTAATCTTCTCACTCACTTGTGTATTTTGTATTGCTTCTGAACTTTAAAAGAACCACCTTGCCTTTGGCAAGACACATCCCAGCTCTTGGCCCACAGATAAAAGATTCAGTGATGCATGTTCAGGAACCAGTAGTCATTCGTGAGAACCATTTGCCCCATTGCCGCAGAGATGTGGCTTTCTTCTCAAGAGCATTTCAGGGTGACACCACGTTCTACCCGCAAATAGGGAATGACCATCTCCCTATTAAACAAGGCTGAACAGAATTTGAAGATCGGTTTGCCCAAATCAGCATCGAAAAATTCCACAACTCCCTTTTCATAATCCAGGGACACCTTGATCTTCCTGGGAAGACGTTCCAGTCTCAACATGGTCCACTTGGGAGAAGTAAAAGCCCAGAGGCAATGGGACGGAAGAGAGTCACTCAATGAGCCATGGCCAGAATTCCTCTCCTTTCCCACAGCCCAGATCCCACAATAAGGACTAAGGCTGCTCTTCGCATTCCTCTGGAAAGATTCTCGTACAACCCCCACAGCCCACTCAGCCTCTTCCTCCTTAACCTCCATCCCCACTGCCACCTCCCACCGATGTCTTCCTGAAACAAATCTCTCGCAGCCCAGGACACAGGGATCAAAGTGAAACCTCTCAAGGCTCGTGGGCACGTCCTGCTTTCCATCTCCCCATCTCACGCTTTTCAGGTCATCAGACACAATGAGGTATGGATATGCTGTGCTTGGATCCAGAATTATACTTCCTGCAGGACAGAGGGAAAGTGGAGATTTGATGAACATAAAAACAAGCCCAGCTTGATCTAATCAGAGACCTATCTTACAGGTGCAGAACTGAGACCCAAGGTCCTCTTGAACTGGTCCTCAAGGTTCTCCCTAGGCCACGCCTCCTCCCCAGGTCACACCCCCGGAAGGCGCTCCTGGAAGATGTGCATGGATGGAAACAGAGGAAGGTGCCTTACACCTTGGTCCATACAGCACAGTCTTGTCTATTCAGCAGTTCTCTGGAGTTCCAAACAGGGTTGTCTCTTCCCCGGCTCTACCTAGAGATGCTGAGAATTGAACCTGGAACCTTCTGCATTCAAGGCAGATGCTCTAGCTCTGAGCTATGCTTCTTCCCCTAACTAGGCTTCTAATGAACTACTGTGAGAACAGGACTAGATGGATTGGGTATTAGGGATCAGTTTGGGCATCACTTGCTAGAAGCTGGATGTCAAATGGAGCAGCTGAATGGAGCCCCTTTGCAGTAATTGATTGATACATTGGCCAGCCTTAATAACAGAAGGGAGTCTAGAGTGCCTATTGTAATGAATCACAGTTCAGTGCATGATGGCATTCTGAAGCAGGTCAGAGGTCTTGGCCACCTCCACCTGATATTATTATTATTATTATCATCATCATCATTTATTGAATTTATATATCGCCCTATACCCAGAGGTCTCAGGGTGGTTCACAGAAAAGATAACAACATATAAAATCAGAATAAAAACAATAACCCAATAACACCCCCCAGAAAAGAGCCACATTTTAAAAGGGTATAGGATCGTCAAACCAAAGGCCTGGTTCAAAAGGAATGTTTTTGCCTGGCGCCTAAAGGTGTATATGTTGGGTTTTCTTTATCTTAGAGTGGTCAATAATGCTACGCAGGAAGAAGGTTGGTTCTGAGAGGTGTGTGTTTGCAGTTTGACCTACTTAGCTGCACACCTGTGGTCTCTCGACTTGATGCCTAATTAAAAGGGGAGTTACTTTCTGCGCCGGGTGCAGAAATGGATGTGATAGGATAATTGGTTAATTGAGACTGCAGTAGATTGTGTTCAAATGTCTTGTAAGCTGCTGGTGAGGAGGAGTGATGGCTTGCAGAGTTTGGTTGCTATCTTTTCGAAAAGAAAACTAAGAAAATATATCGTGGACAGCTTTTTATTTCTAAGTCAGGCTGATCTGTGCCAGGCTGATCGCCGGGTGTATTTGCATGATCAGCGGGTGCATTTTCACAACAACAATCACGCCAATCACGAAAATCCACCCACCGGGGGTGCGAGCACCACCACACCGATCCACCTGGGGGGCAGGTTTTGTCACACACACCCTAGGCATGACACCCAGGGTGGACCGCACCCCCCCCACACACACACACCCCTTGCCCATGCCCCTGAGCACTAGCAAGTCTCTGAGTTCAACGTATTTTCCTGCCCCCTTGTTTGCCCCCAATACCTTCCCATTTTTCTGTAATCTTGATCAGAGCAAAGTTTTTCGGTGAGCAACTGTTGGGGTGATTAACCAACTCATGCCCCACTTCCTCCTCATCTTTGGACCTGGAAGGGAAGATGGACAGCTTTCAGTACTGAACAATCCCCTTGCCCTCCCATACAAATGTTTAGTAAGAACATAAGAAGAGAAGATGCTGTGGGGGAATTAATATATGAATCCCTGTCGACTCACATGTGTGGGTGAACAACAAAAGAACTGACTAGGTGCCTAGATTCAAAACACAGGGCTAGCACATAGAAAGCCCCAGCAGAATTTAAAATCAAGTCACAACTTGTGCAGCAGTACAGCATAGGAATAGACTGTGAATCCTGTTTAAAAGTTCTGTTTAGTCCGCTGAAGCAACAGACCTCACTGAACACACCACACACTGCTAAGTTTAAAATTATTTACTTACCTATTCAAAAGTCTGATACATGTGTTGTTCTGTGTAGAAAATACAGCAAGATATCGTATTTTTCGCTCTATAAGATGCACTTTTCCCCTCCTAAAAAGTAAGGGGAAATGTGTGTGCGTCTTATGGAGCGAGTGCAGGCTGCGCGGCTATCGCTGAAGCCAGAACAGCAAGAGGGATTGCTGCTGTGACAAGAAATAGTTACATACCTGTTCAAGTTCCTTCTGATCCCCTGAAAAAGACAAGAAGATAAATGAGGTCTCAGCTACAGGGACAGAACATAGAATGAGTTTGAATAGAACGTAAGACGCGACAGCGCATCTGTGGGTCGCGTTTTGCCACTTCCATGCATGCGCGTGACATCATTTTGAGTGTCTGCGCATGCACAAGCGGCAAAACCCAGAAGTAACGTGCTCCATTACTTCCAGGTTGCCACGGAGCACAACCCGAAAGCGCTCAACCTGAAGCACATTCAACCCAAGGTATGACTGTACCAGTGAATTTCTTCTCAGGCTCAGGAAAGAAAACGTAGAACCACAAAATTATTCTCTGGCTCAGATGAAAATCTTGGATGTGTGACGCTTTTGCTAGCCAGCGAACATGGGAATTCTCCTAAACTCCACATTATGAGCTAAGCAGTGAATGATTCACCAGTCTTGAGGGATCTTCTCTTCTTTATTCCCCAGGTCCTGGGGCAAGTGTGGGGACATGCAGGCCCAGGGGCCAAATGCAGCCCCCTGGGAAGCTGTATTTGGCCCCAGGACATATCCTCCACCACCCTTCTCCTGTCCTAGGATGTGTCCCTTTGGGGGGAATATTTTATTGGTTTTATAATAAAATGACATTGATCACCTGTGCAGTGTTATGTGAACACTTGAGTCGCATATTATAAGGGAAATTGAGCAGGGACACTGCCTAATAACTGAATCATTGACTGTATCTTCAAAGGTTCACCAATCTGTGACAGATTCTCTGTAAGTAAACACGAGCAGTTGGAGGTCTGTCATTAACATCACTTTTATTTACATGGCTGATATATAGGAATCGTACTTTGTCCATCCTGTTTAGTTTGGCCTCTAACAACCCTTCTGTGTTCAATTAAATGCTTGAAAAGAAACAGATCCCAAAGTCTCCCTTGCCAGCCTGTCAGAGCTTTCTAGTGGGAGGGACTCTGTAAACAGGCAGTGGTAAACTGCAGGTTTAAAGGTAAAGGTAAGGGACCCCTGGACAGTTAAGTCCAGTCAAAGGCCGAGGGAGCCGGCGTTTGTCCACAGACAGCTTTCCAGGTCATGTGGCCAGCAGGACTAAACTGCTTCTGGCACAAGAGAACACTGTGATGGAAACCAGAGAGCACGGAAACACCATTTACCACAGTGGTACCTATTTATCTACTTGCACTGGCATGCTTCCAAACTGCTAGGTTGGCAGGAGCTGGGACAGAGCAACAGGAGCTCACTCCATCATGGGGATTCGAACTGCCAACCTTCTGATCAGCAAGCCCAAGAGGCTCAGTGGTTTAGACCACAGCGCCACCAGCATCACTATTGGTAAACCTCAGGGCAGTTAGGTCTTTATCTATAAGAGGAGTCCACATCAGTATCTGGTGACAGAAGGGCCACAGCAGGTTCCTCATCACTTTTGTGGTATATATATTCGCCTTGAATCTCACCTTGTCAGGTAAAATGGGGAATATGCAGGAGAGATTATTTTGAGGAGCCATGGAAGGTATTTGTAGAATATTTACTGTTAAAACGGAAAAGGGTCAAACCATCGCAAGAGGTGTTCAAATTTTGGGAGGTTGGATAGTTACAATGGAATGGTCTCGGAAGTGGGGTGTACATTTTTATTTTATTTCTTTTTTTTATAAAAAAAACTGGTTTGTACAGTCAAACCTTGGTTCCCGAACACCTCCATTATCTTATGTTTTGGCTCCTGAACGCCAAAAACCCAGAAGTAACTGCTCGGATTTTTGAACTATTTTCGGAAGCTGAATGGCTTCCGGAGAGTTTTTATATTTTTTCTCCACTGACTTTGCCTACAGCCATTTGAACCTCGGTTGTCAAACATTTTGAAAGAAGAAGAAGAAGAAGAAGAAGAAGAAGAGGAGGAGGAGGAGGAGGAGGAGGAGTTTGGATTTGATATCCCGCCTTTCACTCCCCTTCAGGAGTCTCAAAGTGCTAACAATCTCCTTTCCCTTCCTCCCCCACAACAAACACTCTGTGAGGTGAGTGGGGCTGAGAGACTTCAGAGAAGTGTGACTGGCCCAAGGTCACCCAGCAGCTGCATGTGGAGGAGCAGAGACGCGAACCCAGTTCTCCAGATTACGAGACTACCGCACTTAACCACTACACCACACTGGCTCTCCGTTTGGAAGTCGAACGGTCTTCTGGAATGGATTACATTCAACAACCGAATGGATTACATTCAACAACCGAGGTTTGACTGTAGCACTTCAGACTAAAAGCGGGGGGGTGAATCTCACCTTGTCATGTCCCAGCTGGGGGAGCCCTACACTAAGTTCTGAATCAGGCTCCATCTGCGGGCAGGGAGTTGGGGTACTCACACAAAACTAAGTAGGGGCTGTTCACAACCAAGGTTAGTCCTCTGACACTGAAGCCAAATGGGTCCTGAGCCCTAGAGAAAGGCAGTGCCCAATACAAACCCTGCCCATTCCCATCAGTGGTCAGTTACTGGTAAGGACTCCTCAGGAGTAAAATCCTCCTCTCAAGGAGACGTCCGGAGAGAAGAGACTTGATAATAGTCAGCTGAGGTTCAGGTATGGGTCTAGGTAAAGGTAAAGGGACCCCTGACCATTAGGTCCAGTCGTGGCCGACTCTGGGGCTGCGGCGCTCATCTCGCTTTATTGGCCGAGGGAGCCGGCGTACAGCTTCCGGGTCATGTGGCCAGCATGACTAAGCCGCTTCTGGCGAACCAGAGCAGCGCACGGAAACACCGTTTACCTTCCCGCTGGAGCGGTACCTATTTATCTACTTGCACTTTGACGTGCTTTCGAACTGCTAGGTTGGCAGGAGCAGGGACCGAGCAACGGGAGCTCACACAGTCGCAGGGATTCAAACTGCCAACCTTCTGATCGGCAAGTTCTAGGCTCTGTGGTTTAACCCACAGCGCCACCTGCGTCCCTTTTGGTATGGGTCTAGCAGCTCCTAATTATGTCAGGTGATCCTACCCACTTGTCAAACTTGAGCCATGGGGGTTGTGCAGGGGGTAACAGCTACAACACAGGATTCAACCCCCTTCCTATCACCATTAGAGTGGCAAAGATTTCCATGGAACCTGCAGTGCAAAAAAATTTAAAGGGCAAATATCTAAACTGGTGGGTGGAATGGACAGAACTGCTCTCCATACAGGAAATTTTTTGGAACTCATTTCCCCCTAATACAACATAATTTTGCATTTTATTTTCACCAATAAATGCACTGCATTTCCCCCTCATTCTGTAACCTATTTTGTTTTTGGTCGGAGATCTGCATTGCATAACATCTGGAGGACACAATGTTGGTTGGGGCTTATCTAGACAAGTTCCTACCTGTTCAATATGCTCCAGGAGAACCACTGAGTGCTGGCTGTGCTGTGGCGAAAGTTCACACTTGGAACATAGCAATTCTCTGTCTTCTTTGCAGAACAGTAGAAGTTTTTCCTTGTGTCTGTCACACAGTGCTCCTTTGCAGCGTTTGCAGTTTTCTACAATGCTGGTCAGCAGCCAGTTTGGCCGGTAATTCCCTTTCTGGATCTTTGTTCGGCAGATAGGACATTCCGGTGGACCTATTTCCTTCCATATCTCACAGTAATGGTTGATGCAGGCCTTACAAAAGTTATGGCCACAATCCAGAGTCACAAGGTCTGTTAAATAGTCTATGCAAATAGGGCACTTAATGTCTTCTTCCATAACTACAAGCAGTGTGGACGTCCCTTTCGGTATCATGGTTCCCTTAAAAATATTTTAAAAATCAGATGTTTCTTAGTAAAGTTCTTGATGTAGAAGTACAACTCCATCCACTCCTTCGTTTTCCTCCCCCCCCCAACATGGAAATGTAACAGCTGAGTTCTTCTACACAACCAGACTAATTAACCAGAAAGATACAATACCACCTGTTAAGTTGTGGGTGAACATATCAAACGACACAGTAATTCTTCAAACAGCTCTTGTTTATTCACAGGCCAGAACAGAACTGAACTGAAGGGTTCAGCCAGCCTGCTTATACGGTGGTGCCTCGCAAGACGAAATTAATTCGTTCCGCGAGTTTTTTCGTCTAGCGAATTTTTCGTCTTGCGAAGCACGGTGTCGGAAAAGTTTTGGAAAAGCTTCAAAAATCACCAAAAACCTCAAAAAAGGCTACCACACTGCGTTCTATGAGTTGCTCCTCAAAGTCAAGTCGCAACTGTACAGTGGTGCCTCGCAAGACGAAAAGAATTCGTTCCGCGAGTTTTCGGCTTGCAATGTTTTTCGTCTTGCGAAGCACGGTCCGTCGCAACTGCGCCTCTTCAAGCGGCTTTAAAAAAAAAGCGCAAGTCATTTTCGTCTTGTGAAGCAAGCCCATAGGGAAATTCATCTTGTGAAGCAGCTCAAAAACCGCAAAACCCTATCATCTAGCGAGTTTTTCTCCTTGTGAGGCATTCGTCTTGCGGGGCACCACTGTATAGAGATCCACTACAACGCAACAGTAACCCTTTTCTGTAACTATCCAATCACTGAACGTCACTTTCAATCCCTTATTTGCATATGTGGACCTGAGTGAAACCTATCTACAGTATCCCCCTGCTGGCCCAGGGTGAGAACTTCAGAACATAACACCACCGATAAGGCTTTGTAAGCCAAGGTGTCACTTGTGTGATCTAGAAGTAGGGATGAATGAATCTGTGCATTCTGGTGTTTTTCATTCCCCCCCCCCCAATCTTATGTTCAGTTTGTCACATTTCTGCACCACTTTGCCAGTTTATTAAATAAATAAAAAGGAGCAGCTCATGAAAATTCACCAGCATTTTACAGCACATTTTCCCCAATATACATACTTGTTTATGCAATTTCCTCTACTATGCATTATTAATAGTAATTAAGAATTTTGTGCATCTAGCTTGCAAGCCTCAACCCAGTAGGAGCCAGTTGCAAATCATAGCACAGACACTCAGTGACGAGGCTGCCCTCTTCCAATCCCTTCTCCCAATTAACCTCCGTCTCCAGGGCCTGTCCCCATGACATCAACAGGGGGCTCCCTTAGGTCTCAGGTCTGGGCCTTGAAATTTCAGGGTCTGAGATGCTCCTGACCTAGCAACCCTAGTTGATTTGGTGACAATTTCCCAAGTCCATCGGTAGGGGAAAGTCTCATTTATAACATTGTACAGTGTCAGTCTGTGTTCCTAAAAGACCAAGGTAAAGTGTGGGCCCATGGCGGGTAAATTATGAGCAAGCAGAGGGTGGCATATGCTTTATTCTGTTTTCAGCTTATTGCAGATTTTAATTGCTTTCTGAATGTTTTAAATGCTATTTAACTGCTTTTATCGATAACTTTATTGTTTTATTATTTTTGTAAACTGCTTTCTGGTTTGTATGCATAAATTTTATGGAAGAGATACATGTGAATCAATTGAACTTTTTTTAAAGTAAGCAAACCAAATTCATTTCCCTCCCTCCCCTCCCTAGTTTCCTACCTTTTTCTTTCGAACCATTCGATCATCACCCTCACAGGATTCCAGGAGTTCCTCCAGCTTATCACACATTCCTGTCTTGCTTTTCGCATCTTCCCCTTCTTTAGATTTCGTGGATTCCCCTGCATGCCTTGCTAGCTCATGGTTCCGCGTGTAGCTGCCTTCTTTAAAAGGTTTTCCGCACTGAGGGCAAGAACCTGCTCCATCAGAGTCGCTCCAATACTGGATGAGGCAAGCGTGGCAAAAACTGTGCCCACAGTCAGTAATCACTGGGTCCAAGAAAGGTTGGTGGCAAACGGGGCAAGTCATTTCTTCCTGGCCAAGAGTGCCTCCAGCAGCCATGTTTCCTTCAAAAACAGCCTGCAGCCTGAAGTAAACACTGGAATGCAATTTCTGGCAGGATGCCATGATGGGAGTGCCTCTCCAAGTTGTAATTTATAGCATGTCAACAACTGCAAACATACGCAGCGATAAAGAGGGTGAGTGGAGATCTGGTTGAAGAAAAGATAACAACCAGATGCAGACAAATTTTACTCATCTGTTCCAGATTCAGAGGCCCTGCAATGCATTTAATGACACCTTTTTAATTTCGAATAATGTATGCTTTTTATAACTGTACAGTGGTACCTTGGGTTAAGTACTTAATTCGTTCCGGAGGTCCGTTCTTAACCTGAAACTGTTCTTAACCTGAAGCACCACTTTAGCTAATGGGGCCTCCTGTTGCTGCCACGCTGCCGGAGCACGATTTCTGTTCTCATCCTGAAGCAAAGTTCTTAACCTGAAGCACTATTTCTGGGTTAGTGGAGTCTGTAACCTGAAGCGTATGTAACCTGAAGCGTATGTAACCTGAAGCGTATGTAACCTGAAGCGTATGTAACCTGAGGTACCACTGTATATGTTGTTTTGAGAAAAAAATATTGTACAGTGGTATCTCAGGTTACATACGCTTCAGATTACAGACTCCGCTAACCCAGAAATAGTGCTTCAGGTTAAGAACTTTGCTTCAGGATGAGAACAGAAATCGTGCTCTGGTGGCGCGGCAGCAGCAGGAGGCCTTCAGTGATGCTTCAGGTTAAGAACAGTTTCAGGTTAAGAACGGACCTCCGGAACGAATTAAGTACTTAACCTGAGGTACCACTGTAGTGAGCAATGACTGGTTGGCATCCCTCTGTCCAGGGAAACAATGGAGGGGTGCACCTTTGGGAGTGAAGTCAAACTGTTGCAAGGTTGCAATGTCTGCTGTGGCTACAGGATACAGGAGAGACATGGTTTGCTACAGCTGAGGCAGAAGAAGGTGGCTGGTTGTCGTGCAATGAATGAATGCAAATACAGTGGTACCTCAGTTTTCGAATGTACAGTTTCATCTTCTTGCAAGGCCCCAGTGATGGCCAAAGACATTGTATCCCCTGTTCTAGACCCAGAGAAACGGGCTGGGACACCGGATGCTCTTTTGCTAGTGTGGTAAAACAGCAGCCATGGCGCTTTACCCAATTTGTGCTGGATCCAGAGAGGGTAGTTGTTATCAGTGATGCTTCCGCTATCAAATGTGCAAGACATGCTGATGGTCCCACCTAGAGGAACAGCCTCTGAGGGTTTCGGGGACTGTAGTTGCTGGGTGCTGTTACGGAAAAATCTGGGTGCGGGGCAGTGCCGAGCAGTGGCGTAGCGTGGGTTGTCAGCACCCGGGGCAAGGCAAGTAATTTGCGCCCCCTAACCCATGGATTTGCGCCCCCTAACCCGTGGATTTGCGCCCCCTAACCCTAGCCCCCAGATGTTGTGCCCGGTGCGGCCGGGCCCCCCCTGCACCCCCCACGCTACGCCACTGGTGCCGAGACCTGAGAAGGAACGAGGCAAGGACAAGCTTATCAAACTATATCCCAGTGTAGCAAAGTCTGCACATCTGGGAGAGGATGAGAAAGACCTGGGTCTGTCTCAAACTAGTTTCCCTTACCAATGGAGGCCAGGACTGTGGCAAGAAACAGGCACCACTCCATCATGGGGAGATGCAGAGGATCTTCCCAAAAGAGACCTCTCTTTGGCATCCTCCCAGAACCTCTTAAGCCCTCAGAAGTGAGGAGAACAGCCATTGTATGCAAATATAAAAAGGTAAAGGGACCCCTGACCATTAGGTCCAGTAGTGACTGACTCTGGGGTTTCGGCGCTCATCTCGCTTTATTTGCCGAGGGAGCCGGCATACAGCTTCCGGGTCATGTGGCCAGCATGACTAAGCTGCTTCTGGCGAACCAGAGAAGTGCACGGAAACACCGTTTACCTTCCCGCCGGAGCGGTGCCTATTTATCTACTTGCACTTTTGACATGCTTTTGAACTGCTAGGTTGGCAGGAGCAGGGACCAGGCAATGGGAGCTCACCCTGTCACGGGGATTCGAACCGCCGGCCTTCTGATCGGCAAGTCCTGGCTCTGTGGTTTAACCCACAGCACCACCCGCGTCCCTATGCAAATATGTCAGCCTCTTAATAACTGTCTCAGGGTGCAGGAGGAGGGCAGCAGCTTTGCTAAAAAGAAAGCAGCTACACCCTTAAAGTGACTCAAAACACCAACTCTTTCCTAGATCCTCACTGCATTCCCCCTCACTGATGAAGAGGTACAATATTGTGGTTGTAGTTCTCTCTCTTACACACACACACACACACACAGAGAGAGAGAGAGAGAGAGAGAGAGAGAGAGTGCTCAGACACATACAATATCTCCATCTGGTGGCAAGATGTATGGACTGTGCAGTTGGCTAACTGCAAATCGATATGGGTTTAGGTTTTATTTTGTTTTTAGCTATCTTCAGCTTGAATAACTTGCATGTTCTTTCAGATCTGCATGGCCTCTCTTGGGAGGAAATGAAAGGTGCAACAGAAATAACTGGTCTTGGTTTTCAGGAGGGGTTGAAGACAACAGTTAAGAACAAAGCCTAGATATTTGTTGTTGTTAATGTGAGATTCTCATCCCATCCAGCCTTTGTCCCTGCCCACTTTGAAAGGGGCATCTCATTAGCTCACTGCCTCTTGCTGTGTCTCTATTTCAGAGAGTGTGAATCAGGTACTTGAAATGCAAAATGACTTGGATTTCTCTCACCCTCCTAAATTGTTAGGATTGGCTAGTTTAAGGGGCAATCCCAGGGTAGGACCCACCAGGAGGAGCAGTTTCGGATGCAGCAGATCTCCACGCTCAGCCAATTGAACTCCCCAGCTGAAGATCATAGCTGCTAACCTTCCCTTTTTTTGCAGGAAATTCCCTTATTCCCGCTGCTTCCCGCTGCTATCCCAGATTGTTATATATTTCGTAGACTGTCCCCGGGACAGGTGAGGCTGCTGATCCCTTATTTTCGAGGCTGCTGATACCTTATTTTCAAATCTGAAAGTTGACAGCTATGATGAAGATAGACTGGCGCAACTGCGCTCCCTAGGGAAGTTTGCCTGGTGCCTTCACTATACACCTTTAGGCGCCAGGCAAAAACGTTCCTTTTCAACCAGGCCTTTGCCTGACTTGATCTACATCCTATACCCTTTTTTAAAATGCTGGCTCTTTGGGGTGGGTTTTATTGGGTTGTTGGTTTTGTTTTGATTTTATGTATTTGATATTTTATGTGAAAAGCCCTGAGACCTTCGGGTATAGGGCGGAATAGAAATTAAATAAATAAAATAAATACATAAATAACTCGCTCATCCCAGCTCAGACAGTCCGGGCTGCTGGGAGCACCAGTCAGAAGGGAGGGAGGACTTGAGGGAGCTTATTATCAGTTTGAAATTGGACTTGGGAGGATTGAGAAAAGAGTTGGAAGAAAAAATCAACACAATTGATGGGAAATTGGAAAAATTAGAAAACACAATGAAAAAAAATGAAAAAGAAAACGAAGAAATAAAGGAAAAATTAACAGAAGTTTTAGAAGGAATGAAGGAGACAGATAAGAAAGTGCAAGAAATTAAGAATAAGAATCAACAAATGGATGAGATGGTGAAGAAAATTAGCAAAGAACAAAGGGAACAAAGAAAAGAAATGGACAAATTGAAAAAGGAGATGGAGGAACAAAAAGCAATCCAGGAAGCTACTGGGGATGCGCTAGCAATGATACAGATGCAGATTAAAGAGAAGACTTTGAGATTCAGAAATGTTCCAGAAGAGGAGAAGGAGGATATTTGGAAGAAGATGATTGAAACTTTAGCAAAGTGGCTACATCTACAGGAAAAAGACATAATAGAACAGACAGAGAAAATCTTCAGAGTGAACTCAAGAAAAGCAAAAATGAACAAATGGCCGGCAGACTGCATCATTGTATTCACATCGAATTGGATGAAAGATAAGATCCTCCAAGTAAAGAGTAAGAACAAATTAACCATAGATGGAAAGGAAATAATAATTCTACGAGAAGTCCCACCTAGGCTGATAAAAAAGAGACAGCAATTCCAATTTCTAACAAAAGCACTAAAGGCCAAATCAATATCTTTCAGATGGGAATACCCAGTGGGGATTTCCTTCAACTTCAAAGGAAAAAGAAGACGATTTGAGACATTTGAGGAAGCAGATATATTTTGGAGAAAGTATCGAGGAGAACTAGGAGGCGGGAAAAGTGAAGTAAGAAATGAGGAAGGAAGAAAGGGAGAGCTATCGGATGAGGTGGAAGAAGAAGAAAAAGCTCAGCAAAGGGTGGAAGGATAAAGAACTACGCCAGTGGTAAATAATCAGATCAATAACTATTACAAAACCCTTCTCCTTTACCACTGCAGATAACTTAAACTCTTTCCATTAACTTTACAATTTTTTAATTAATAAAGGATGAAATTTAAATTGTTATCATGGAACGTAAATGGTTTAAATAATAGGAGGAAGAGGCAGAAAATAGAACGTATCTTAGAGAGGCAGAAGTGGGACCTTGCTTGTTTACAAGAAACCCACATCAATACTAAGCATAAAAGACTATTGGTAAAACCAAAGTTAGGGGAAGAATTCATCGCATCTGATGTAAGAAAAAAGAGGGGGGTTGTAATGTATGTTAAGAGCAAATATGAACCAGAATTGTTATATGAAGACAAAGAGGGGAGGATTGTAATAGTCAAAATATCAATAGAGGGGGAACCAATTGTAGTAGCGGGAATCTATGGATCAAATAAAAGAAAATCAGAATTCTATGTTAAAGTAAGATCATTATTAATGGAATATATAGATATGAGAATTATTGTGTTAGGAGATTTAAATGGAGTAATGGAACCAGAATTGGATAGATCGCAGAAGAAGAGGGGGGGAAATGAAGGGAAGTTGCCAAAAAGCTTTATGGAAATGGTAAGGATTTTTGATTTAGTGGATATATGGAGATATAAACATCCTGTCGAAAAGGAGTTCACATATTTCTCAGAACCAAAAAATTCGTATAGTCGAATCGATAGTATATGGATTACTAAGGATATGACA